AATGGTGCAACCACTATGGAAAGCAGTATGGCGCTTTCTCAAACATTTAAAAATAGAAATACCATTTGATTCAGCAATTCCACTACTGGGAATGTACCCTAAAGAAACCATAACTGCCACCCAAGCAGATATATGCACACCCATGTTTATTGCTGCTTTGTTCACAATAGCAAAGAGTTGGAAACAACCCAGATGCCCATCAACAAACGAATGGATAGAGAAGCTGTGATATATCCACACAATGGAATACTATGCTGCATTGAAAAATAAGGATCTCATGCAATATTATACAAAATGGGTGACCCTGGAGGACATTATACCAAGTGAAATAATCTCAGTCACAAAAGGACAAAATACTGCATAGTGCCACTGTTGTAAAATGGGACTGACATTGGGGTTGGAGGGAGACTGAGAAAGATGGGATAAATTATGAATACTGCACTGAAACAGATGAGAGAGAACTAACTGTTTAAAAGGAATATATGATTAGTTATTATTTTCGTGATAAGATTCTAGAAAAAATGCATAGTAAAGTGGACTGTGGACTTGGCCTGGGGGGGAGAGTTGGGGATTGTATAACAATGAAAGACTTTTTCTTTTCAAAGAGAAAAGCAAACTGGGGGGAGGGGTGGGCAGGGAGGAAAATGTACAACAATGAATGAATGGGGGGAAATTAAATGGGAAGAATATGCTGTTAACAAAAGAAGAAAAAAGAAACAGGTTTAAGCTGAGGGGACAAAAAACCTCAAAGGAATAGGGAGCTCTGGTGGCCTAGTGGCAAAACGCTGCACTGCAGTCTCAGAAGTATGCAGTTCAAATCCACCAGATGCTCTGCTGGAGAAGGAGGGGGCAATCTCCTCCTGTACCAGTCAGATCTGATTTGACGGTACACGTAAAAATTATACAATAAAAAAAAACACCTCAAAGAACAGAAATTTCACAGAGAACTATAGTTCCATTGTTAAAGATGAAATGGAGTTTTGGGGAAAGATTAAATTGGATCCCTGTCTCATACTACATATAAAATAACAATTCTAAATGGTCTCAAATTTAAGTGAGAAAAGCAATACTTTAGACATTTAACAAAAAATATAGATGAATATCTTTATGACCATGGTAAAAAGGGAGCTCTCATGGCATATTTGGTAGCGAGTTGCATTGCTAATCCAAAGGTGATGCCTCTGGCAGTTCAAATACACCAGTGGCTCTGTAAAAGAAAGATAGTCATCTCCCATATGATTTACAGCCTCAGGAAGCCCTCTAGAGGGTCAGCTGTTTGTTGGTTCTGACTCAATGGCAATGAGTTTGAGGGATTTTTTTTTTATTTACTAAGGAGCCTTGGTTGTTCGTTTAAATCTATTTCTTAAGTGGTAGTTCAAACCTAGCCGCTGCTGCAGTAGAAAATACTTGCTAGTCTGCTCCTATAAAGATTACAGCCTAGTATGTATTTATCATAGAGAATATTGAGGGACCACTTTGAAGGCCTTGGGCCCACCCCTAAGTGTCAGCCACTAGCACTTTACCACATGTACATCTTCACTCTCAGCCACATTATCATCAACTCCTGCTTCATATCTGAGTACTTTGTATCACATTTGAAGGAGATGAGAGATTAGGGAGACTGTGTACTGTGGGCAGGTGTTCAAGAGGCCTTCTCTGAGAGTTAACTTTAGCACCCAGTTGTACTGCAGTTCCCACAGAGGAACCTAACCACATCACCCAATTTTACTGAAACATTGGTGCTCTGCACCATGCCAGTTCTTTCTATCCATATCATGAAGGGGGCGGAAACTACAAGTAGGAAGTGCTGCTGGCTCTCAGTCAAGCATTTTCATTGCGCCACCAACTCCAGCATCACTAGGACAAGCCACTCTTCACATAGGAGTAGCCCAACACCTTCTTCTAGGCCACTCCTCTTCCTTTCTCCACACTGCAATCTGCCCAATAAAACACCTCTGGGCTGACTAAAATTTAAAAAGCCTATTGAGTATTTCAATTCTGTCATATTAGAGACACTGTGAATTGGAATTTGGAGAAAGACTCATCAACAGCCTGGCATATGCAGATGACACGTTGCTTGCTGAAAGTGAGGAGGATTTGACTGTCAAAAGACTTGCTTAAAGTAAAGAGGACTAACTGAAGAAGATCAAAGACTACAGCCTTCCTTATGGGTTACACCTAAACATAAAAATCCTCACAACTGGACCAATAAACAGTATGACAAATGGAGAAAAGATTGGCATTGCCAAGGATTTCCTTTTAATTGGATCCACAATCAGGACCTATAGAAGCAGCATTTAAGAAATCAAAAGGCATGTTGCATTGGGAAAATCTGTTGTCAAGGACCTCTTTAAAGTGCTGAAGAGTAGGGATGCCCTGATCCAAGCCAATTGGCAGCATCAGGATGGATGGTGAAGGGATTGAGACTGTTAACAACTTTTAATCGGCTTGACTCCGCGGTCAACACTCTTGGCACCAGTAGCGAGGAAATCAAAAAACGTATTGCGATGGGAAAATCTGCTGTGTGTACATATTTTTTTATTTTATATTTATATACATTGTTTTCCCACTGGACCTTCCCCATTGCCTTTACCCCCCCACTCCCTCTACCCATCAAATTGTGCAATCCTGTGATTACCCTCCTGACCATCCTCACCCCTCTGCTTTTACCCTCACCCCTTGAATTCTCTTACATGTTTTTCTAGTTATTTCTATTTCCACAATAATGGTCTTTGCACAGTATTTGTCCTTATGGGACTGAGTTAGTTCACTTAGCATGATGCTCTCCAGTCCCTCCCAAGATAGGTAGTGATTTTCAAAATCATTGTTCCTGCGGTGGCCGCTGCTGCTGTCCCCGCCACGGATCGCCACGCAGTGGGGCAGTACGGCTCCAGACTGAAGGTCGATCAGGAGGTGGGCGGGCGCGGGTCTCCCCCGGTGTGTCCGGGTGGCACCCTCCCAGGGCCCCCCCGGGCACCGCCAGGGATCATGTCTACAGCCTCTGCCGCCTCCTCTTCCTCCTCGTCTTCGGCCGGTGAGATGATCGAAGCCCCCTCCCAGGTCCTCAACTTTGAAGAAATTGATTATAAGGAGATCGAGGTGGAAGAGGTGAGCAAGGCCGGAGTAGCCCGTCCCTGCCTTTATCCGCACCATATTCTGAAAGGCACCTGTCCAGCGGGGTCGACCCCAGAGACACAGCCCCTCAGAGACAGGGTAGGGGGAGACGTTGCTCAGCTACTCTAGGGTAATTCTCATTTCCTCACTTTGACACTCTTTGAATTTGATTCTCCGGTGTCTGGATTTGGGTCATTTCGAATACGTTGAGATGGTGGTGATATGGGATCCATCAGGTCTCATTTCTCTAAGCAGTAAATTCTGCCAACATTGTGGCCGGTTTGGAATTTCAATTCTCTGGACATTTGAGTTTTTCAGAAGCTAAAGATGACATTATACTCGATTCAGTTGTCAGTACCTTTATGTAGGTGGTTACTTAACTGAATGCCTGTGAAAATGGTAACATCAAATCGAATGTAGTGTCAACCCCAGGTACTGAATGGCTCTGTTTTGTCCATTCCATAGAGCCGTACTCATGGTGTTTATTAAGTATTCTACCTTCAGCTGGGCTAATTTAGAATTCTTCATTAGTAATGCACGCCAATTTGCTAAGATGAAAGAAAACATACTTCAAGTAGCATATTCTGAAGAGAGAGACAATTCGTAATCTCTACATCAGTTACAGTATATCATCAGGCTAAAAATTGCTGTTAGAAAGTCTGAATAGATTCTGGAGTTAGGAGTTATTTGAAATAGATTAGAACAGGATAGTTCAGTGTACGTCATAAAAGTATAAAATTTTAGGAGACAGCATGATAAAACTAGTAAGAATAAATGGCTGAATTAAAAGATTTTTTAAAAATTACTTTAACAATCTAATGGCCAATTTTAATTCACCAGTTACTCTGGGAGAAAGATGGGCATACAGTTTACTGCCTCTGGAAACAGACTGGAGAGTCAGCTATGGGTTGGTACTGACTCAGCCACAGTTGTTTGAGATGTTTAAGAACTACCTTACTTTTCAAATAAGGTAACATAGAGGGAAATATATCCAATATGCCACATTAACTGTAATTCAGAACAAGTTTCCTAACAAACCCTCTTGAACTTTGGTATTATTATTAGCTGTAAAATAAGGTAATGATTTTTATCTCATTTTATTTATGTATCAGATCCTATTAGGTAGTGTGTGTGAAACACGTAGAACAGTGCCTGACACAGATTAGTAGGAATCTAAGTTCCAGAGGGGAAACAGTGACCCATCTTAAGGTCAGGTGGCTAAAAAAAAAAGGTGTGTGTGTTTTGAAATGAAAAGAGGAGAGATTGTGTGTCTGTGTGTGTGTGT